CAAATGTATGGGTATCAATATCACACTAAATGGAAATGTTTTAACACATCATTTAAAAGTCAGAGATTTTTTTTTAATGAAATAAAAAAATCAAGAGCCAATTACATGCTTCCCATAGGAAATGCACTGTAAGTATAAATACACAAATAGATTAAAAGTAATGAGATTAAAAGAGATACCATGGTAGGGCTGGGGATTAGCTCAGTGGTTCTGCTGCTTGCCTCACAAGCGCAAGGTTCTGAGTTTGATCCCTGGTACCAAAAAAAAAAAAAGGAGAGATACCATGGTAATATTAATCAAACCAACTTGACCTAATTGATGTTTATGGAGCATTCCACAATGAGCAGAATATATATTCTTCCCAAGGGAACATGGAACATTTAAGGTAGACCATGTTATAAACAATATAATAAGTCAATAAATTTGAAAGCATTGAAATCACGGGAAGTATGTTCTCTAACCACATGATATTGAATTAGAAATCAATAACGGAAGCCACACCTTCTGGTGACACACACCTGTAATCCCAGCATTCTGGGAGCCTGAGACGTGAGGATTGCAAGTTTGAGACTGGCCTGAGCAATTTAGCAAGATACTGTCCCCAAATTTAAAAATTTAAAAAGGGCTGGGAATGTACTTGCTATGCAGTTCAGGCTGGCCTTGAACTCACTATGTAGCCCAGCCAGGCTGGCCTCAAACTCACAGCAATCCTCTTGTCTCAGCCTCCTGAGTGCTGGGAGTATAGGTGTGTGCCACCATGCCCGGCCAGGTTTTACTATAATCTTGAAGGGCAGCTGTAATCTAGGACACAGTGGATACTATCATAAAAGAAAGAAAAACTTTGTTTTCCAGGATAAAGTAAATACAATTAATAATCACATGAGAGTTTAGAGTCAAGGTGAAACAGCCCTTGAGACTAATGATCAGCATGTTGTCAAGGATTTGATATGGATCCATTCTCCTCTTCCCAGTTTCCCAGTCACCTGATTTCTCAGGGCCAGGCACTCTGGGAAATGCTAACTTTGCAAACATTTTAATGGGTCTAATGGGACCAATTTTTCTCAATTCTTCACCTGCCCTGTAAAATCTCACCAGTGAACACATTCTCCTTCCTAGCTGGGAGCCACTAGGCTTCCCTGGGGAAAAGATGGCTCTGAGGTGTCCCCTGTGAGCACAAAGTCAGTCGTGAGGAGTGAGGTGTGTGGGGGCCATCTCACCCCTCTCCCGTGTGAGAAGTGAGTCATTGACGGCTCCGATCCCCAGACTCCATCAATCAACCCAATTAGTCTGGATCGGTCTTTTTTATTCTTCTACTGAGGGCTCGCATTCTGAGGGTCACAGCAACAGCGCTACAATCAAGTCCTGGGTTCTGCTGGAATTAAACAGTTTGCTTAAGAATATCTCAAACAATTTTGAAGAGGAAATTCCTTGGTTTTTTATTTCATCAGGTAGTATGCAGGTATCTGAAAATTGTTAACTACTGAAGGGAAGAGACAACTATCCTATGCACAGGCCAATTTCCTAAGACAAAGAATTCTACCAAGTTAAGAAAGGGCATTTATATGTGGCTCAGGAAGATGATCTGTTTGCTCTGGCAAATATCCCATGGTTTAGTGTTTCTCAGAGGATGGTTCAGAGACCACCTTCTTCAAAATCACCCTAGGTTGGGGTTCAGTTATGGACCAACTATCCTACAGTGGAAAACTAGAATCTGTGCACACAGCAAGCTTCTCCAGTGAGCCTTGGGCAAGCACTTCACTAAGAACCATGAGTTGTGGTCAAAATATACAATGAATGTTTAAATTTTAAAAAATTTATAGCTGGGCATGCTGGCCTATACCTGTATTCCCAGCACTCTAAGAGGCTGAGTCAGGAGGTCTGGAAGTTTGAGGCAAGTCAGGGCAACTTAGCAACATGATGAGACCCTACCCCCCTCAAATAAATAGAAATACATAAAAAGGGCTGAGGATGAAGCTCAATGTAAAGACCTAGGTTCAATCCCTAGGACCTCATTCTTAGAATAAAAGACACATTCCCATCAATTCCCTTCAAAATACCCCCCCCCACACACACACATTTTGAACGCACTTATCTCATTGTTCTTACAACTTTCTGGAGCAGTTCTGGAAGTCCTCTTTTATGAGTCTTTATAAAATAAGATAAAAAATACAGTGAATGCTGCTGCCAAGTGCCATCCTATGAAAAGGCAGGCTCATAAAAACATTATAGTAGGCCCTCATCCACCTTATTCACTGATCTGGTACAATGTGACTCATGGCTCTCCCTTGAAGTTATAATGACCTTGAAAAGTAATGGTTTTTAATTGATTTAGGACATGAAAGCAGCTGTGACAGCACACGTAAAGACCTGAAAAAAGACTTCTAGAAGTGATTCAGAAAGTGGCAAGAGTGATGGAACAAGTGTGTTCAAAACAAGGGGAATATTTTGAGGGTGATTATTGGCAATGTGTCTCTTTCTGTAATACATTTAAAAATTTTAAGCATTCATTGTATTTTTAATCTTAAATTGTATTATTATCTTTAAAGAATCTTAATGACACTGAGTGCTTCCCTGACTGCTCTGTTCTCTCACTGTGCTATCACAGGGAGAAGTCAAGCTGTCAGGCATAAACCACGTCTCTTGTCTGTTCTTCTATCACCCACCTACCCCAGGCATTTGACCTCACACCTACATGCTTCATTCTAATCTACTTCCCTATGATATGGGTTCCTTGATGAGTTTTTTTTTCTACTTTTTATTCATAGGTACAAACTGCAGCCAACAGAAATAGTGGTTATTACAGCATCCCGTGAAAACCTGTCAAAGATACCAATTTTTCTACAATCCCTTCCATAACCGTCTACATTCTAAAGAATTTTGAATTTAGTGTGGATTGGAGAAGAGAGATGAGAAAGAAAAGGGGAGGAGAAGAGAAAGAGAGTTGATTTAAAGGAAGTGATAAATGTGGAGACTCTGACCAGCTATCTCTTGTATTGCCCACTACCCTCCTCTATCTATTCCAGCCCTTCATCCCAGCAGAGGGCTCCTGTCTCTTCTATCACAAGCCAAAGACACATCTCTACTTTTCTGGTTTTGTCCATTCTTTAATCAGAGAAATACTTGCAATACTACACTGAAAATACACTGCAAATACTACACTGAAACCATCTATTGAGGTAAGAAGATATGAAGTCACATCTTCAGAAGTTCTACTCTATTCCTAAGGTTCACCTGTCCACTTTCGAGAAGTTTCTGTAAGTTATTTCCACTCTGAGAGTTTTACATCATTTCTCTAAAGTTCTGAAATATGCCTTGAAGCTCAGTTGGCTTTTGACACTAATGTCACCAATGACATTTGCCAGACAAATTTAGTAATGTCCATCCTGTGCAATATTGGGACTTACTATAAAGCAGAAGCTATTGGATTAAGAACAACTGAATGCTATATTACTGTGACATGAAATAAATCAAGAATGATGCTTCATGTGCTCTAAAAGCTCTGTGTTCAGATCTGCACTCATATTTAGCTCCTCAATTTTATTAGAAGATGATAGATCTCTAGGCATTACTAAAACCTTTTACTGGTCACCAGCCAGTGTTCTATCAACAGAAAGAATGTCTCTATTGCCTACCTGGCATCTAAATTTAGTTATCTATATGTCCAGAATATTTTCCTGCCTGCAGAGTTTGATAATTCTGGAAATTCTGCCAATAAGATTAACCAGAATCTTTGCCTGCGCTCCTCAATCCTTCCAACATCTTTCACAAGTATGTTGTTTACTTACCTGCAAGGCAGGAAGTATGTTTTTTACTTACTTTGAAGGGCAGGAAGATGTGGCTCACTTCTGTCCTCCACTGTCCTCCTAGCCAGTCACACCTACTGGCTTCAAGTTCACAACTGAGAGTCTTCATCAAACAGCACAAGGTGCCCAGCCCACTCCAGGAGCCCGAGGTAATTCAGGGACATGGATGGCAGAGGAGCCAATGAAGCTCCAGTCTAGAAGAGGGGCTGGTCCTTTCCTGCTGCCCCCAACAGCCCCAAGTCCAGGGGACTTCTCTTCCCTGGGAATGGCTGGTGTCCTCCTGAAACATGGGTAGTGATTTCCACTGGATTGATGCTTCCCAGCTCCCAGTCCCAGTTTGCCCTTGACTTCATCGCCATCTACACATCTCATCTTTAGGACTTACAGCAATGCTTGGACAGTCCTGAGTTCACAGGGGCAGTTTGATAGCTGAGCCAGTGAGCCATGTTGAGCTCCTCTGAAGGCCAGCTCAGTCATTCTTGCTGAGCATGTCTCTGTCTATCCTGTCTGGTGGTAGGATGCTTGCTAAATTGTGTTGCTGTTATTGTTTTGTCTCATTTATCATGTTTGTGTATTAGATCTGTTTTTCCAGTGAGAATAATCATAGCTATCTATCCTGGAGCTTTCTCAATGTGCCAGACTTTATTCAAATGCTTGACATGCATTAACTCACTGAATTTTTACAACAATTTTTAAGATACCTACTTTATCATTTTTTACACATGAGGAAACTGAAACTCAGAGAGGTTAAGTAACATTCCCAAGGTTACATAGTTAGTTTGTGGTGAAGTCCCAGCTTTGAAACTTGGCAGTTTGACATGAGATCCTAGATGTTTACATGAAATATGCTATCTCTAGAATATAAACTTTTTGAGGTCAGGCACTCTTAAATTTCGGTTAGGGTGAACACAAAGTTATATGTACAAAAAATTGTGAATCTATATAGTTGGTGGGTGAATATTTTATTATTTAATAATGTTTTATGACCTCTTTCATATTTTCCATTGCTACTCAAGTAATGCTTACCAACTAACGGACCAACTAACCAGCCAAGTAGAGAAGACCATACCCCAAGCCAAATTTCCTCAGTAAGACTAACCTCCAAGAGGTTGTCCTTATAGCGGGGCTGAATCCAGTAAGCCCTTGGGGTTCAAACTCACTTTCAGTGGTATCCACACCCCAGAGCACTGGGTAAATATGGAAGTGACAAACCTGAGCCGAGGGATGGAGTTTGAACTCTTGGGCCTGACCAGAGACCCCTGGCTCCAGAGGCTGCTCTTTGTACTGTTCCTGGGCATGTACACCATCACCGTGCTGGGGGATCTGGTCATGTTCCTCCTGATCCATGTGAGTGCCACCCTGCACACGCCCATGTATTACCTCCTGAAGAGGCTGTCTTTCTTGGATTTCTGCTACTCCTCCACAGTTGTCCCTCAGACTCTGGTGAACTTCTTGGTCAAGAGAAAGGTAATTTCCTATCTTGGCTGCATGGCTCAGATGTTCTTCTACGCATGCTTCGCCACCAGTGAGTGCTATCTCATTGCTGCCATGGCCTATGACCGCTATGTTGCTATTTGTAATCCGTTGCTGTACTCCACCAGCATGTCTCCTGGGGTCTGCATCTCTCTGATTGTAGGCTCCTACAGTGCAGGATTTCTCAATTCCCTTATACACACAAGCTGTATCTTCAGTCTGAAATTCTGTGCTCCTTACGTGGTCACTCACTTTTTCTGTGATGGACCACCCATCTTGTCCCTGTCCTGTGTGGACACTTCACTGTGCGAGATCTTGCTCTTCATTTTTGCAGGTTTCAACCTTTTGAGCTGTACCCTCACCATCTTGGTCTCCTATTTCTTAATCCTCATCACCATCCTGAGAATGAAATCAGCCCAGGGCAGGTTCAAGGCATTTTCTACCTGTGCTTCCCACCTCACTGCTGTCTGCCTCTTCTTTGGCACAACCCTTTTTATGTACCTGCGCCCCAGGTCCAGCTACTCCCTGACTCAGGACCGCACAGTTGCTGTGATCTACACAGTGGTGATCCCAATGCTGAACCCCTTAATCTACTCACTGAGAAATAAGGATGTGAAAGATGCTTTAAGAAAGGCTTTGGGCAGGAAAATGGTGGAATGACATTTTCAATTAGTTGCCGTGTCTTTAGAAAGCCCTGGAACCTTTCTCTTATGTGGTGCTACCCTGAGCAGATTCCCTGCTGTCCGTGGGAATGGTGGCCAACCCTGCTGATCGGCATAAGTGTCTACATCTACCTGCCACAGGAAGAACTGAGGTTGTCATAGAGACTAAGAAGCCAGAAGGACTGTTTGCTATTTGCATAACTGGAGCCACTGGCAAGGCTGTCACACCTCTGTCCTGGTACTTTATTTATATCTCAAAGTTTGTGAATATTTTATTATTAGAAATGGGTATTTATATTCTTCATTGTAAAGTTATCCCTTAACTAACTTGAAGACCTTGGCTCCTTGAGAAAATCCTTCCCATTCTTTACAATCTCCTCTTTGTAAAAACTGGCTCCTTAACTTAAAAAGTTCTTGTTGTTATTGTTGTTATACTCAGGATTGAATCCAAGGTCTCCCACATGCTAGGCAAGCACTGTACCACTGAGCTACATTCCCACTCCCCCAAAATCTTTTGTTTGAATATGTAACAGCAGCTTCAGAAGTTCCTATGACGTTTTGTTACCTTTGGTGACTGTATTCCTGGTCTGTTGTTTTCAGAGTAGAGGTCTTTGACTTCTTTTGTTAGGTTGATTCCTGGGTATTTCAGTTTTTTGGATGCTACTGTGAAAGGAATTGTTTGCCCTATTTCTCTCTCAGTGAAGCTGTTGTTCATGTAGAGGAGAGCTATTGATTTTGTGTGTTGAACTTGTATCCAGCTACTTTACTGAATTTGGTTATTAAGTCTAGAAGACTTTTGTCATTTTTAAAAAATTCTTTTATTGGTACTTTGTAGGTATACAACACATTTACATTTCTCATTGGGAATTGTACCTTTACATGAGGCATCTTGGTTCTTATTTTTTCCCCATTCCTAGCCCTCCCTTCACCCCCTCCACCCTTCCCTATTTACAAAGACTTTATTT